TATACGTGAATCGAATGATTTATTAGCTAATTTGTTCGAGCATTATTCTTCGCGTTGTAAAATTGTTCGTATTCTGGCTTACTGCCAAAGATTTATTACTAATTGCAAGAAGCATCATGTTACTCAGAACATTTCACGTAGTGGCATTAACTCCAGCTGCCTTATGCCGCTAACATTTCTAGAGATTCGAGTAGCAGAAAATTTCATTATTCGTTGGATTCAGAACATCTTTACAAAGATGATTTACAATGTATTAAAGAAGAGAAAGAAACCTTTACCCAAGAAGAGCCAACTACGTTCTTTGTATCCATTCGTAGATAAAGATGGTCTCTTACGGGTGGGAGGACGTCTTCGAAATTCATCTTTAGCATTTAACATCAAACATCCTGTCATACTTCCTTCTCGACATAAATTTAGCGAATTGCTAGTGAAAGAACTTCATATTACTTACCTTCATGCTGGTCCTTCTTTATTGTCACACCTCATCAGACAATCTTACTGGATAATTGGAGGAAAGAAACTGATACGCAGTTGTGTCAACCATTGCTTAATATGTCATCGATTTAAAGCTGCTTCAAATCCGCAACTGATGGGTGACTTACCTGAACATCGTGTGACTTTGGAACGACCTTTTTACGCATCTGATGTGGATTACGCTGGTCCTATTACCATGAAATTCAATAAGGGTCGTGGCTCTAAAACAACGAAAGGCTATATAGCTCTGTTTGTTTGCTTGTCGACTAAAGCTGTGCATATAGAAGCAGTCAGTGACCTGATGGCAGACTCGTTTATCGCTGCACTTAGACGTTTCATTTCACGTCGCGGTGCACCACGGCACATTTACAGTGACACGGTACCAATTTTGTGGGAGAGCATGCCGAAACTACAAGAACTAAATCAGATTTGGTCTTCCTTGTATGCAACGGAATCGGTTTCCCGAGAATTAACTAAGTCATCTATTGAATGGCATTTTATACCGCCTGCTTCGCCCCACTTCGGAGGAATATGGGAAGCCGGCATTCGCTCAGCGAAATTTCATCTGAGAAGAGTATTGAAAGAGACTCTTTCAACCTACGAAGAGTTGTCAACACTACTTACCCAGATCGAGGCTATTTTGAATTCACGTCCACTTACTTACGTGAACGATACTGATATTGACTGTGTTAATGTTTTAACCCCTTCTCATTTCATTACAGGTGATACTTTAACTTCCTTACCAGAAAGCCATCAGACTTTACGCAAAAGGAGTTCTAGGTGGGAACTTGTACAGAATCTACGTCTGGGATTCTGAAAGCGGTGGAAAAAGGAATACTTGACTTCGCTTCAGCAGAGATCCAAGTGGCAGTACAACAGACCCAATCTAAAAATCGACACCGTGGTTCTTATCATCGAAGATGGATCTCCACCGCTAGCTTGGCCTATTGGACGGATCATCGATGTCCATCCGGGCAAGGACGGCTTAGCTCCTGTAGCCACTGTCAAAACTAAAACTGGTGTTTTCAAGAGAGGAATTAATAAGCTTTCACCTTTGCCTGTGTATCAGGACTAAACCTGATAGGGTGGGAGTATGTTCACTGCCACGCCTATCGAATTAATTTCTACCTTTTCGTTGCCCTGCGTTGGCAACATGCTTTGAGATTTGTCGTTCGTAGGATTCGGTCGCTTAAAAGCGTAGCTGGCCTGTAACGGTTGTAATTCTTATTTTATGCTTATCTGTACTTCTGAATTATTACTAAATGTTTACGTGTGAATGTTATATTATTAAATGTATTCAGTTTGGTTGAAATACACCGAGAGTGGCTGAATTGATTAAGTATAATCGAATTGATTAAGTCGAAACTGCGTCATCCATGTCGGCGCCATTCTAATACGAGGTACGTAAACAGATGCTTTATGTATATATATACGCATACGTATACATATATACATAGAGTTTATACATAGAGTTTGTATATATACATAGAGTGTGTATGTATGTATGTGTATACCACATACATACATACAAACGTACATACTCACATTTCTTAATCCTTTCCGGATAACAGAAGGGTACCGTTCATTCTACTCGCATTAATCTGCGTATACAAACTATCTTTGTCTAGATTGTATTCGGCCTCGCGGTTTAGAGAGCTGTGTCTTTTAGCGAAAGTGAAATGTAACTAAGCCGCTGCTATTAGCGAAGTAGTAGAAATACCCATATTTAAATATGTACGATGCAATAAATACCTTCAATAATTAATCATTGCAGGTCCAACTACAGGACGTCTAAGCTAAGTGATTACAAATACATAAAATCACTCCCCAAAACCAGATCGGCGCACAGGTGGATGGCTCACGGAATAAACTGTTTCCTGGTGATTTGATAAAAATCTTATCTTTAAATTACACATTCGCTCATTATTTAAAATCCGCTTAATTTACATTCTGGAGAAATTTAACCTCTTCGCTTCCAGTTTCCCTTCGTGAGTCCGCCGTATCAAATGTGATAATGGTGCGTATCATATTTGATACGCTGAAACGAAACGTTTTATTTGGCATTTTAAATGTGTGTAAATAATGTCAGAAAACCATGAATCTTAATTGAACGGAATATCTGGATTGTTAGCCTTGTTGTTATGAATACTATTTGCTGCTTTATTCTACGAACATAAAACATGCGATACTTATAAAGTGCATTCGAAGTTTAGAAAGTTTTCACACAGTACAAGTGGCTTACAATTTTATGTATAGGTATGACAATAGAATAAAATTGGCAAGAACATTTTAATTCTTAGTTTTTATTCATTTTAATTCTTAGTCTTAGTTTTTACACATTTTTTTTTACTTTATTGTTGTATAGAAATAATTTAGGTATGGTTCGGCTTATGTGACTACGGCAAAGCCTCGAAGGCGATCTGTTTAAGCGAAGGGATGCCTTCGTGGAGGACTTTCTAATGGAAACCAGCTCATGTACACGTTACACATGGGGAAAACCACGAAAAGGCCCATACAGCCATCCCGTAGGCGGGATTCGAACCTCGGCCCGAACTACTAGTATTCAGCGACCGCTTGGACGCTGATGGGCCTAGTTTAGGTATGCAAATACAATCATTTTTATTAATGTTGTACTTCAACTTATTTTTATATTTTTTTAAATTATAAATATTAGTATTTTCTGTTTATGTTATAAAAGTAATATTTAATTAATATGTCCATTAATACGAATATTTCGATCAAAAGAAGATATAAGGAATTTCTCCCACTTTCCTAACGTGCCTTCGTGGTGTAGTGGTTCTGCACCCTGGGCCGGTATTCCAGAGGTCCATGGTTCAATTCCCAGCGAAGGCGTTTGCTAATTTTTCATCTCTCCGACCTTCAAAAAAAAAAAAAAAAAGAAAAAAAAAGAAAGAAAAAAGGGAAAAAGAAAAAAAAAAAAAAAAAAGGAAAAAACCTAAAGTCTCTAAAATGGAGCCCGAACTAAAAGGGTTGTGGATGATGGCTCTCCACGCCCGGGATTTGGTGATTGGGTCCCCTAAAAACCCCATTCACTCTTTAAAAGGGGAAGTATATAAGGCATTTCTCCCGCTTTCCTAACGTGCCTTCGCGGTGTAGTGGTTCTGCACGCTGGGCCGGTATTCCAGAGGTCCGTGGTTCGATTCCCCGCGAAGGCGTTTGCTAATTTTTCATCTCTCCGGCCTCTTAAAAAAACCTAAAGTCTCTACAAAGATTTTACATGAAGTAATTTTTATGTGAGGCTTAATTACCGAACTTATTCAGGCATACAGTGACGTTTAGGGCTCCAAGGTCATGTATCCACGGGGGAATTTGATTTTTTCTGTGCCGGGAGCGAAGAGGTTAATGGAGGAATTAGCATAAAAAATAAATAAATTGAACTTTACGATAATAAGTTGTTTAATGGACTGTCTAACGTAATGAAAATGATTAAGACTATTGTAATGGGAGGATTATATTTTAGTTGCTCTTATCAGTAAAGAGTACACATAGCGAAGTATTTTTTTTCTGACGCAAAGAAGAAAACATCTTTCTTATGGAAAGATGAGGCAGAATATTTCCAGTGCGGAGCAAAAGAAATTTCATTTTCAATATTTCATTACTCAGATACGCGTGTTTCCAGAAAGCATGACGCAGACATTCAAAGTAACGTCAGAATTTCAAACTTATTGCTGAGATATGTATTGTCTCAGGGAAACGTTTCTCACCGATATCTAGTGAAACGAAGGGCTTATTTTTATTGCACTTTAAAGTTCCAATATATCCTGCGGTGAACAAAAGTCTTTATGGAAATGAGGTAATATTTCTGCAGAGTTTTATAAAAGAGATGAAACGCGACCGCCTCAGGGAATTGCGACCGACATATTTCTCGCCCGGCTGAATTCTGCAGTGAAACTCAACACGTAACACCCAACTCAACATCGCTGAAAGGTGGCGGATAAATTACAACGAAACCCGATAAAAACGCGCCGAAACAAATAAGTTCCTCATTTTCTGAGTTCGAAGCATTATACTAACTTTGTATTAAAGGAATTGTTAGATTTATTCATATGAAATGCAGAATGTATTCATTCCGAATTCGATGAGAGTAGAATTTGAAAAATGAGAATTTTATGATATATGTACAGTAAAATTATACTTATTCTTTTAATTGCACGGCAGCTGAGTTCGAAATTTTATGAAATATAATCCGAAAATATGAATAGTACACATTCTTCATATGTGTATATATATACATACACATATGTAGCGATTTTATAAAAATACTGAAGTACAATGAAAATACAACAAAGTGCAAAATGTGTAAAATACAATGAGACACCATAATTGGACGAAATATGATCGAAATTGTATGAAACACATTTCGAAAATATTAATGATACAGATTCTGATTCCAAAATAAACTAGCATCTTCAGAAATTGATTTCCGAAAATTCTTATTTCTGCTACATAAATGTGTAGAGACATTAGGTATTTTTTTGGAAGCAAGAGAAAGGAAAAATAAGTAACGCCTTCGCAGGGAATCGAACCACGGACCTCTCGGATAGGCGTCGAGTGTGTAGACCACTACACCACGAAGGCACGCTAAGAAGGCGGGAGACATATCTGATATACTCCCCCTTTTAAAGGGCAGCTCGGGTTTAGGGGACCCAATCGCCAAATCCTGGGTGTGGAGAATCATCATCCAACACGCTTTGAGTTCGGACGCCACTGAAAGATAGCGTGGTGCCACAGGAGTGGTACCACGCTATCTTTTCAGATGAAGCCTGATTCTACGTACAGCATCATGATGGACGTATCCGCGTGGTATCATCGAGGAAAACGGACGTCGCCAGCTTGAATTCGTCATTGTCCTAGGGGCCCGGCATATTGCGTGCTGATATGAGGTGGCTTTGGATGCATATCTTGGTTACTCCTTGTTTGCATAATCTGGACAGTTGCCGTTTTATTTCTGATGGGATAAAGCCTGCGAATGTGCCCTATCTTCAAGGCCTTCGTGACGCCAACTTTCAGCAAGGTAATGCGCGACTATTATTGCCATGCTGTCCTGATCTTCCTCGATACACAGGGTATTGGATTTTTGTCCTAGCCAGCATCTCCTACAGATCTCTCACCTACTGAGAACATTTGGCCATGGGTTGGCGAGAGATTAACACGCCACTACTTGCCACCCACTACGACGAATGAACTTAATATAGAACTGAAGCCACATGGGTTTTTCAACTTGCTATCATATGGGAAAAAACTGGTTTTGGAGATGGGTCGGCTACGTCAGTTGTCACCGTTAGGTCAGATAAACCCCAGTGGGAACCCCATCCCACGGGCCCCAATCTCAGAGAGTTTCGCTCACTACGCCCATTTTAGGCTCAGTTGGCCGTCGTTGCGTTTCGGCTATCACTTGCAGTCATACATAAGCAATAAATATATAACTGATATTTAAAAAATAAATATTAATATTTTTACACAGTTCCAATTTTGAAATCTTGTAGCCCATCTTAGTTTCAAGTCGCCATTGCTGCGTTCCCGCTAACAGTTCTTATTAAAACCATTAGATGGCGCCATATTCAGTGTAGAATCTTCAAAGAAGAGTTTAATTGCCCTCTCTATCAGTTTTTCGTGACTATTTCGAAAGTGGGGAAGAAATCGGCCAAATTGGATGATGAATTTGAAAAGCTCATTTTAAAAAAAAGACATAAGCGACAACAAAGCAAGTGTCAGTTCTTACTAACCGTTACATGAGGGCTATTAGTTTTACAGTGTTTTCCAGTTATATTTGTGCTAGATAAAATTTTGTACAATTCAGCTTGAAACAACATAGAAGGAAAATCACTGTCTGCCTGAGACTTCGAAAAAACTGTCTCCAACTTCCTAAACGAATTCTCTTCACTCTGCATAATGCAAGGAAATGTCAGGTACTTCAGGTAGTGTTAAATAAAATGAAATATTTTATGAAAACTCAAAATTTTACTAACGACATCAACTAAAAAGTAAGTCTAACATATAATGTTCAATTTTTAGTCATAGAAAATCTGTGTCTTGAGGTGAGAGTGAAAGCTCTTCGGAAATAAATGTAGATAAGAATAAAATTTCAGAAATACACGCTAGAAGAATATGTGTCCTTTGTTTTGTTTTTAACCAAGTTTTCAATTGAATAAATTTTTAGAGATCATGTGTAAAAAGGCTTAGTAAAGCTGAATGCTGAAATATGCAGATGAGACTACTAATACGTTATAGTGCCACTTGCTTTCAATTTTTCAAATCTTACAGCAGAAAGCAATACGACAATCTTAACATAAAATAGAGTTTTATATACGTGTACTTGTATACGTGTTTTATATACGTATAATAAAGTTCGACTTTCTTTTTAATAACTTTTTCATTTTACTCACTCAGAGCAATCTAATTAAAATAATAAGAACAAAGATAAAAAAACTGCCTTTTTCTTGCATCCTGCAGAAAATATTAATTATTTGTATTTACTAAAAATTCGAATATTCATATTTAATTAGCAGCTTACAAGGTAGATAGAGTGTAAAAACACGTCTCGGTTTTTAATTATTTTTTTAATCAATTACCGTGAACATAATCAAGATTGCTTTTTCTGAAAACGCAAATATCTAACTTTTAAAGAATTGAATTACGGTTTTTTTAGCAGAAGTTTCCAAAAATAAACCTTAATTAGGTAATCATTAGTCAAAGTTCAATACTGACATCATGAGTGGGCGTGCGATTACTTTATTTTTAATCCACCTGTATTATCGATTGTTTATTGGGGAGAGAAGTAAAACTGCAACTGTAAAGCCTACATTTCAGTATTACGCCTAAAAATAAAAGTACGAAACTTTGTTTCTTCTACTGAAACTTCTCAGCAGACGGGTGACATTATAATGAAAAACAGTGATTTTACCGTCCGCTTACATGTCTGGAATTCATTAAAATTTGTCTAATTCAAACTTTTTGCATTAAAAAGCTAAAAAATATTTTAACTAATAGAAATGAAATTCAATTAGAGCACTTTTAATTTGTGATATTATTTTATAAGACTTGTTTTAGCTAGCATGTTATTTTTAAGTTAATTCTTTTCGGTAGCCTCTGACATTCACTTGAATGCCTCTGAACTTAAGCAGCGAGCGAATTATAGCTTAAAGCGAGTATTATGGCAGTAATTCACATACTTCTGTATTGAAAATTTATAAATTTATAAAATTATAAAATTGTAAAGTGTTATTTAAGTTTTCAATTGTAAATTATTATTTAATTTTAATAATTTATTTAAAGCATTTTCTCTCTATGTATCTCGTAACAAGGTAGCAACTGTACAACATAAAACTTTTAATCTGTTTACTTGTGGAGTAAAAAAATATAAATTTGTAAAATTATAATTAAATTATAAGTTTTAAATTATAAGTTTTAAAATATTTATATATTATAAATTAAATTATAAGTTTTAAAATATTATTATTAAGTATTTTCTTTCTTGGTATCTCCTGCCTTCGTGATACAATTAGAAAACAAGTCCGGCTAGCAATTGAAAGATCCGGAGTCAAATTCCCGCTAGGACATTATTGTATATTTTCACGTTTTTTGTTCGAAATAAAATGTTTAATGGTATATACCTGTGGCGCCCTAACTAAAAGTTAGTGGACAATTATTCATCACCGCCAAAACTGTCGACAGCTTCTTCTCCTTCTCAGTTGCTCTTAAAGTGGAGGAGAACGTAATGTATTTTCTCCCTCCGTATCGCCTGCCGTCGTGGTGTAATTGGAAAGGTCGTCCCATAAGCAATCGGAAGGTCTGGAGTTCGAATCCCGGCAAGTTCATTGAGCACTTTTCATATATCCTGCGATGAAATAAAATACTTAATGACTCTTTAATATAAAATATAAAATGTAAATTCAGAACAGAAAAATAAAAAATTTTATTCTTACAAAATAAAAAAAAAATCTTTATATTGCAAGTCATGGTGGAAAGAAAACAAGCTAATACAGAACTTTATGCAAATAAGCAGCCTTATGTTAATGTAAATTTCGAATAAAACTTAGTGATTTCGAGATCTATCGACCTGTATTCAAATCTACGCCAATCCGTTGTGGCTTTTTTTTTGGGGGGGGGAGGCTCTAATTTTAAGTATTGAACACTTCACTGTAGCTAAGGATTTTTAAAAAGTTTTAATGATGGTCTAAAATTGTGCATAATAAAATAGTTTCTGAGAGCGTTAGGAAAAATGACACCTCATTAAGTTGCAAGGTATTAAAAATCTCCTCTGAACGGTAAAGCTGAAACTTTAATTTCTTAAAAATGGTTTAACTTTTCAGCTTTTCTCAGCTTACATTAATGAACAATACTTAAAGAAAGTATTAATTTCTCTTAATTTTTAATTCTTAGAAAAAAAAAAAAAAAAAAAAAAAAAAAAAAAAAAAAAAAAAGGCCTGTTAAGAGAGGAAACTGGAAGCTAAAATCTCGATAAACCATTTTATATGCACATCAGAGGGCTCCCCGTCCGCCATTTTTCTATGTTCTCTAAATCAAGAAAAAGAAGGATATTCTGTTTGAATAAGTATATCAGGCATGAAGCAGTACAGAAATTTATATAATATACTTTTTGGGTAACTTGAAATTGTTAATAAAGTGGTACTTAAAGAATTCCCCTTTTGATGTCTTTTAAACTAAAAACATTTCCATCAGTGCAAACTGAAATAGAACTCGAGAGTAATATTTAATTAATAGAACATAAAATTTCTCTTTGCATTATAAATTTATGGCATCAAAAATATTTTAGAAATCGCTCAAACATTCTCACTTTGTGTGGTCTTACGTAAATTTTCTTCGGACTTCGGATTCGGTTAGGCTGTCTATTTACCCTCGCAATTTTTAGACATGTTCATTACTACATTTGATGCAAATTATTTTTAAATAATAGAAGAATGCATTAGGTACAATAGTTCATCACGGATTATTCCTGTTTTTAGCGAATTTGTCTTAGGTTGGTTGTGAGTTAGTTGAGATAAAGCCCGCTAGAATTAGCTGCCGAACAGAAGAAACGCCTTCATGCAATTTTTTTTTTTTTTTTTTTAATGAGAGAAACTATAGTTTACTCATATTTTGTTTAGTGCTATCACCATCATCAATTTATCGCTAGATTGGCGAATCTTGCGTTCTGGATTGGCGATGCTTATAAGACTGTATCGGACTGCAGCTATTTACTGTCATCAAACTATAGCTGTACTCACATAGCAGAGAGTAGAGGAAAAATTTCCTGAATAAATTAGCAGCTGAAATATGGCGACCAGTGATATTGAAAATGATGCTGACAGTAAAGAATATTCATTTAATACTGTGAGCTTTAAGAATGTAGATAATTTATGAAAGATCAAAAGTACTGTTCAATATTTAAGCCGCTGTGTTTAATTAAAACTTAGAATCTAAGACGACGTTGTGTATATCTTGAAAATAGCTTCAGCTTAGCTAATTTTTCCACCACGCTATATTGTTTCATCCTTCAGTGTGGCAGATTGCTGACAGTATCTTGAGATATCATACTTTTGAAGCAGAGCCCAAAGTTAAATTCGTCTATTTTTAGG